TTCCAGGTACTTTGTAAATGCGCATCTTCGGCAGCACACCACGGGTTGGCCACGGGTGCGCTACGCCTCCCAGATGTTCCGGTGTGATCGCGCCCGGAAAATCCGCTGGACAACTGTGCCTTCCACACGGCAAATGCTCTGTGTGACCAGGGCCTTTGTCTGCTTTCTGCCTCCTCTCTGTGCGCCTTGTCCACCAGAGAGGACAACTTGCTTATACTGCTGTTTCTGTGGCCAGGTGGTTGCAAGGGCCAGTGCGGTTTAGGGATTTAGACACTATAACAAACCACAACTAGTACCGACTTGATTAATAAAGCAGCTATAAAAACTCTACTTTGAAATGGTGGTTTGATGTCAGCCGATCAACCTCCCTCAACTATGCCTCATCATGTTTCATGCACACCTTTGCTCAGGGGCCATTTCCTGCAGGAGCGCACAGGAGCGGAACTCCGGCAGTAAAGAGCCTACGGGGCGGGCACATGCAACAAGCCCCACCCCCTGCTCCCAGCAGCCCTCAGTCAGAGCAAGAAGCAGCCAGGTAAGTTGCAGAGGCCCCCCCCCCGGTCCCCCAGCCCAAAACAGTCCAGTGGCACCTTTAAGACCAAGTTTTATTCAGGTACAAGCTCTCCCTCCTCTGCGAGGACGGATCTGCATGTTCCCCCCCCCCAATAGCTAGCAATCCAAAACAGTCCAGTGGAGCCTGAGCAGTGGGTGTTGCCTTCTGACACACTTCCGGTGATGTCAGGGGTGTGTGGCATACGCAAAGAAGTCATGCTAATGAGTTATACTAATGAGCTCCTGCACCTCTTTTTCTACAAAATGACCCCTGCCTTTGCTCCTTCTCCATCAACCACCCTGTTCCCTGCCAAATGTTTTCAGAGCCAACCAAATCTTTCTTTACCCAATCAGAACTGACCATGAAAGATTCAGATTCATTTATGTAATTTTCTATACCACACACAGTTCTGGTCACACAAAATGTGAGAAGAAGGTTGCGCGAGTTTCTCATTGCATTTATCAAGCAAGCAGGAGGAAAGGAATAAGCCCCAGTAGAGCCGGCGCATAGCCGCAGCAAAGAGGATCGGCGTCAAAATACATCAACATACTGCTGGAGGACACAATCAGAGAGGTTAGAGAACAGCCACAAAAGTGTATAAATAAACTTGCAACGAAGCTAAATAAAGCCTCATTGTGTTCCCAGAAGCCAGGAATAATTTGCCTGTTACCGTGCAAGTGCAGGGATGATATTGAGGGTATTTTTAGTAAGAAGGCTGCCCGCGGTCTACACTGCTGTAATTCCGTGCCTGAAGACAGCTTGGCAAAGGTTTGGCAGTGGCACGTTCACACAAAGTGAGGCAGAAACGAGGCATGCTAGAGGGAACGTTTCATGCCATCACTATTCAAGGGCTCATGTGAACACGAAGTCCCTGGAGCTGCTATCCAGGAATTGCACAGGGATCCATAAAGGCCTGCAAAGGAATCCAGCTGTTCCAGAGTTACAGAAATCTAAGCTTTCAGATTTCTCCTCTCCCTTGAGGCGGGTACACAGGAAGGGCTAGTTCGAGCCAAGATGCACAAGTTACTGAGTGATACGCAGGGCTATTTTTGGGCAGGAACGCACAGGAACGGAGTTCCGGCTGGCTTCAGAGTTGGCCACGCCCGCTACAGCCAGAACCTCTGAGTGCCTGGCTACAGAGGGAAGGCCTGGACACACACACACCCCATGACTCCGAGGTAGGCGGGACCGGGGGGGGGGG